TTGAATTCAAGCACAGCCATGCCTTGTTGTGGAGGGTAAATGACTCATGGGTGGAGCACCTGCCCGGCCACAAACCCAAAATTCCATTCACGCTTTGATTCTCTTGTTTGTGCTGGTGGCTCCCGGTGAAGATGTTTCAGTAGTGATGGTTGAAGGGGGCTCTTCAGAAGCTGGTTCAGAGCAGATTTTTGGGCTGAATGTTTTCTCACCTCTCAGGGGGTTGGTGGAATGGCAGAATATTTCTCTCAATGGGTTTTGGGGGGTTATGGGCGAGCTCAAGGGGCAAACTTTGCAGATACCGAGCAAAAACGGTTTCCAGGGGGGTTTGCACAGGAAAAATCCTCCCTTCTGTTACTGTTGGGATTTTGTGCAGAGAACATTATCACCAAACAACTGAGTTGGAAAGACAGCCCCTGTTGGAGCCAAATAATTCAGAGTATTCTGCAGAACATGGGGTTTAATGTAACCAACCTTCAGGCACAGTTTGAAAACTAATAATCCATTTTTCTCTAACTTTGTGAAGGTTTTGCTCTGCATCAGGGAATAGCTTAATAGGACGGTGAAAACATGCTGAGTGAGTTAGGAATGAGATGTAAATTGGATGAAGTGCCAAGAGAAGGGCGTGCTGGGAGGCACCTTCCACTCTCCACCCTCCAAATTCACAGTAACACCTGCCCTGCCACCTGAGGGACTGATGTGGAAACCCTGGGATTATTTGTTCAGATACAATCACAAGTGTGGACTTCACTCACACTGTGATTCCTTATCCTCTGGAGCACAACCCTGACTTTTCAGAGAGTATTTTCCAATTGAGAAAGTTTCCTGGAAAGTTTTAAAGTCGTGCCATCTCAGCCCTGCCCTTCAAAGACAGGGAAAACGCTGCTTCTCATCACCCAGCAAGACCCTCCCCTGAGCAGAAAGTTCAACCTTGCACTGAAATATTGAGAGAACTTATCAATATTTCCCTTAATTTATCAACACCTTGTAATGCAGTGAGACAACATTTGTGTTTGCATCCCACCGGTGAGGTTTTATTTGCCTTGAAATATTAGATTTAAACCCTCCAGACTGGAGTTTGCTGCGGGGCATGAGGTGAGATGAACCCTCTGTCTGGGTGGAGTTCACTCCAAGTAGCAGCACTTGCTGTGGTGAAGCATTTTGTTCATCAGCTCTTTTTGCTGAAGTGAGTCCTCGGTGTGGTTTGGGTGCACCACTTGGGTAACTGCTGAAACTGCTGTGGTTTCAGAGCAGGACCTGTTTTGCTTTTTTTTTTTTTTTCTGAAATTTTTTTTCCCCCCCCTGAAAAAAAATCAAATGAGGGTTACAAGTGTTTGCTTGCCCTTTCGTGCTGCCATGCCTCAAAATGGTAAAAATGGTAAAAATACAACATTTTCCAGCAGATTGGTGCAACCTCAGTTACTGCCAAGGGTGTATTTTGCAGTGTTAGAATTTTCACCAGTGGCCCTCAGTTCAGCTGGTGCCCTTTTTTTGATGTGGGTTGGGTATTTTTGCTTTACATTATAAAAATGTACACTTGGTGTAAACCAGCAGAGATGCCAGAAAGATAACTCTGGGGGCGTTATTACTAATTTGTGGTTGATAAATGAGTAAATTGGAACTCCTAACTGAACCAAAGCAACTTCTGCCAGGCCTCAAAGCCCTTTTTGCAGAAAACAAACTGTAATAACGACCAAAGAGTGGGGGTGAAAGAGGGATTTGGAGTTGGGAGTTGGATTCTGTCAGGAAGGGGAGAGTAACCCAGGTTCTTGTTGATAAATCCCTTATTAGAGTGAGGCAACACTGAATGGTTTTGGTAGCAGAAGGTTTAACCCCAAAAAAAAAGGCAGCTTAAAATGGGTCAGGTTTGCCTCTGTCACTCCAAATTTTGGGGGTTTGGGGCAACACAGGGTGGAGGAAATGAGGGGAAATTTTCTTGCTGGTAACTGGCAATAGAGGAAGGAAGGAAGGAAGGGGAATGCAGAGCTTAAATTAGAAAGGCAGATAATTGAATTCTCTTGCAGTTCTCCAAGGCCAGCTTGGACAGGGCTTGGAGCAACAACAACCTGGTCTAGTGGAAGCCATGGCAGGGGATTGGAACTGGAGGAGCTTTGAGGTCCCTTCCAGGGAGGGTCTGTGCTTGTGAGGAGAGCAAATGTTGCTGGAATTTCCTCTCTCTTGGGTCATTTGCTTCCAGAAAGGACAAATCACTGGCCTGACCTGCCCCTCTTTAGGAGCCCCACGTGTGGGTGCTGCCATGGGGATCCACATATCCCTGTCACACCTGGGATCCAGGATGGAGCACGTGCTGGACCGTGGAAAATTGGCCTGGGGGGAGCTTTGAGAGCTGTCCTTTATCCTCCAGCCTCGAGGCAGCTAAACCAGTGGGGGTTTCTAGAAACCATTTCCCAAACCTCCTGGACATGGAGATGAAATGCAATAAGTTCCCTGGGCAGTCTGGAGTATCCTTGAGTTTTCAAAATATTGTGGATTGTCTAATGTGACTCTCTCTTGATCCAGTCTGAATCCATTTGGCTCTCTCCTGATGGAAGATTTGCCTCCAGGACTGTGATCAGGTTCCCCCTGAACACTCCCAAGATTAAACAAATCCACTTCTGTCTCCTGCTGCCCATGTCTTGTTCTCCATGTCTGTGTATTTGTTCAGCTGGGGATTCCTTGCTTCCCACTTTCCCTGCAGCCTGTATTGAACCCACATCTGACATTGTCACTGCACTGCTGAGAATCTGCACAATCCCTTCAGTTCCTGCAAACCTGCTGCCTTCAGTTCCTGGGAAACCTGATTGCTTCAGCTCCCTGTGCTCCTCATTGCTCAGCTCCCTGTGCTCCTGATTCCTTCAGCTCCCTGTGCTCCTGATTCCTCAGCTCCCTGTGCTTCTGATTCCTTCAGCTCCCTGTGCTCCTGATTCCTCAGCTCCCTGTGCTCCTGATTCCTCAGCATCCTGTGCTTCTGATTGCTTCAACTCCCTGTGCTCCTGATTCCTCAGCTCCCTGTGCTCCTGATTCCTCAGCTCCCTGTGCTTCTGATTCCTTCAGCTCCCTGTACTCCTGATTCCCCAATTCCCTGTAAACCTGATTCCCTCAGCTCCCTGTGCTCCTTATTCCTTCAGCTCCCTGTGCTCCTGATTCCTCAGCTCCCTGTGCTTCTGATTCCTTCAGCTCCCTGTACTCCTGATTCCCCAATTCCCTGTAAACCTGATTCCCTCAGCTCCCTGTGCTCCTTATTCCTTCAGCTCCCTGTGCTCCTGATTCCTCAGCTCCCTGTGCTCCTTATTCCTTCAGCTCCCTGTGCTCCTCATTCCTCAGCTCCCTGTGCTCCTGATTCCTTCAACTCCCTGTGCTTCTGATTCCTCAGCTCCCTGTGCTCCTCATTCCTTCAGTTCCCTGCACTCCTGATCCCTTCCATTCCCTGCACTCCTGATCCCTTCCATTCCCTGCACTCCTGATCCATTCCCTGCACTCCTGATCCCTTCCATTCCCTGCCCTCCTGATCCCTTCCATTCCCTGCACTCCTGATCCCTTCTATTCCCTGTAAACCTGATCCCTTCCATTCCCTGCACTCCTGATCCATTCCCTGCACTCCTGATCCATTCCCTGCACTCCTGATCCCTTCCATTCCCTGCACTCCTGATCCATTCCCTGCACTCCTGATCCATTCCCTGCACTCCTGATCCCTTCCATTCCCTGCACTCCTGATCCATTCCCTGCCCTCCTGATCCCTTCCATTCCCTGCACTCCTGACCCCTCCAGCTCCCTGTTCCTGCTGACTTTTGGGAATAGCTCCCATCTGAGTGCAAGGGAGGATGGATTTTGGGCTGGGGTAGGAGAGGCTGGGCTGGGATTCAGCTGCTGGCTGGGGGATCAATTCACTCCAAGTTTTCTGCTCTCCTTCTCTTTGATAAACGAGGATTTCCCCAGAGCTGAGCAAATTTTCTGAGGTTCCTGAACAGCTCCCAAAGTGCCTTAAAAGCTCCCAGACTGCCACTCTGAAATGTGGGGGTTGTGCTTTCCTAGGGTGTGTGCCCTGATGGGAATCCACTCTGAGATTCCTGTTAATTTTAGTTCCAAGAATTGGCCATTTCAATAAACAGATGATAACTTTAATGCAAATGATGTCTGTGATTCAGGTTGTTACACAGAAAGGTGTAAATGTTTGTTTTAAGAGCGTTTGTAGATTTTCCTTTATCAAGTACACACTGTAATCGAGAGTGTTCATCCAGGGAGTATTTTCCCTAGAAATTGGGTGTGTACTTCTCAGGAGAATCTTTTTTTTATTATTATTTTTAAGAGATAAAAAAAACCCCAAACAAACCACATTAACAAAGCAAATACACAAACGTTATTATATTCCACAATAACTCCTGTGATTTCATTTGTGCTTGGGGTGGAATAGAAGAACAAGCAGTCACCTACAAGAGGTGTGGTGATCACAAGGTGATTTCTTAATCAGTCTCTTTTTTTCCATGTACAAAAGTGGTGGTAGAAGGATAAACCAGTCCCAGGGGAAAAAAAAAAAGCAGAATGCAGGCATTCTGTAAAGTCACAGCTAAGTTACCACTTAATCCTATTTATCATGGGCTGTCTTTAGTGATACAGATTTTTATGTGTTTTACCTTTTATGTAATCCCAAACTTAAACCTGAAATACCTCTAATCCTGGAAAATCAAAGTCACCCTTGTCAAATCCTTCCCACAAAGGGTTTTATCCTTTAAAATCTTGCTGCTATTAATATTTTGCTACGTATGAGACAATAAACCCCCTTTAAACAAAACCTGTGAGATGATTTACCCTGAGGAACGAATGAACACCGTGACATTTGGGTCCATTTTCACCCAGGGGAGGATGGATGATGCTAAAATTGTCTCAGCACACTTTCCTATTTCAGGCCTTTGCGTTGTCCGTGGTAAGTAACTTCTCTTTTTCTCCTTTTGTTTTGTTTTGTTTTGTTTTGTTTTGTTTTGTTTTGTTTTTCCTAACCTTTCCAGGTAAAAGCACTCCTGTCAGCCACCTTGGGCCTGCAGATTTCCCCAAGCCCCACGATCCATTCCAGCCGTTTGGGGCTGACAGCACTGACCCCTTTCAAAGTAAAAAGGGCTTTGGGGACCCATTTAGTGGAAAAGATCCATTTGCTCCCTCCTCTTCAAGTAAAACTCCTAAAGACTCTTCCTTGGGGTTTGCAGACTTCAGCTCTGTAAGTTAAGTTCCTTGTCTCAGCAAACCACTTTTCTGCTCTGCTTTGCAGCCAAATCTGTTGGGTTTTTTTGTTTTGTTTGGTTTGGTTTCACCTGCAAACCTCCTGTCCCCCTGGCTTCTGTCTCTCCCTCCCTTCATGCTGTCCTCATTGGTTTTGTATTAATATTTCTGTAATAAAAAGGCGTTCTTTTCAATAAAAAGAGGAGTTTTTTTCGTCCTAAATTGCCAAGTAAATTGCATTTTAAATTATTTTAGCCCAGCGTGCCTTTGCTCTCAGACTCTCTCTCGTAGCAGAACCCGTGTTATTTGTTTTTGTTGCATGAAGGCTGCTTTGTAAACTGATTTTTGGGGGGGGGGGGGCAGAACGATGTAAAGAGTCAAAAGCAATTGCTGAGAACGTTTCTGCAGCAATTTCACCACGCCCTGAGAAGCAAATCCTTAAGGGGAAAGTTTCCATGAAGCGTTTGTAAGTGTGGAAAAAAAAAGTTCTGACAATCTTGTCACAGCGTTTTCTGTTTGTGATGGAACGTGGTCACAGAGGGACAACAGACCAGGCAGAGAGGGACAATTTACCTGTTGAACTTTGTCCCAGTTGCTGAGATTTTAGAAAAGCCCTTGTTAGAAAAAGAAAAAAAAAACCAAAAAACCCCAAAATGGTTTTGTAGAACCAAGATAGAAAAGGTCCCCCCTGCACTCCCAAAGACGGTCCCAGAAGGTTGGAAAGCAAAACCTGTTCCTTACCAGGGCTTCCCAAAGCCTGGCTTTGCTTTCAGTGCTGGAATTGGGAGCAGTTGTAAATGCATTTACTGCTTCCATTTACAGCCTCAGGCTTCTCCTCCCTCCTCCCAGTGTTTTTGTTCTCTCTCATGGCCATGCAAGTGAAAACTCCCATCTTTGAGCTCGATCTTCCAGGTTGTTTCTTTTTCATGTTTGGGTTTGCTTTGTTGCCGTGGGGGTTTTGTTGTTTTTATTTTGGTTTGTTTTTATTTCCCTACTTATTATTTAATATTAAAAGTGTATCACGTTGCTGTTGTTAGTTGAGGTCATTTGTTCAGATTTCAGTTGGGCCCTTAATTTACCTCTTTAGAAAGGTCCAAGCTCGAGGTTTTTTCTGTATGTTTGACCACAGCTGGTCCAGCCTGGTGGATTTTGCACAGTTCAACCCTGATTGTATCAAAACCGGTGACGTTCTTAATAAAAAGACCACGCAAAACTTTGCTTTATCTGGAATTTCTTCCAACACCACCTTCATTTCTTCCTGCACCCAAAGCCAAAGGATGGGATGGAATGGCTGTTTGCCCAGTTCTTTACTTTGTACACTGCATTTCTTAAGTTCAAATTGTGGTTTTCTCCGAGTGATTGGGTCAAAAATGATCAACCAAAATCTCTGATCCCCATCCTGAAGGGTCAGATTTGCTGTGCCGTTATTTTTTTCAGCTGGGATTAACCTTAGGAGAGAAGGAAAAATGAGATAATGAGCAGCAGCCACTTAGTAATTCCTGTGAAGTGGCATTTCATCCAATGAAATCCATTCTTAAATCAGTTTTGTCAATTGATTTTTTTCCTGCTGTGACAAAAAAAGAGAAGCATTGACTGAATTTGACTGAAAAGGCAGAGGTTTGATCCCTGTTCTCTTCAGTTTAGGGGGTTTTTAACTTGTTATAACACAATTATTGACAATTCCCAATCCTTCAGTGGGATGTTTTCCATGCACTAATTCCCTTGGAATCACTGGGAATATCGTGCTGGGAAACTTTCTATTCCCAATGGGAATGAAAAAAATCACTTTCCCTTACAGATGATTTTCTGACCACACGAATCATGTAGGACTGAACAATCAAATAACCCCAAAAATCCTTTAAAATAATTTTTAATTGAAATCCTCGACTGTTACAAAGAGAGAACACGAAAACCTTCACTAGATTTTAGTAGCACTTTATGAAATTTGCCTTTTTTTGTTGGGTTTTTTTTGAGGCACTGGCAAATTCCTGCACCCTGAGCTTCCCTATCTTCTCATTGCACTCTGAACTTTGCTGCTGGCTTTCAATTTGATTCATTGGAACAAAACAAGAGTCTTTTGGTAGCTCAGATTTGGGGTGTTCCAGGGTTCCAGCTGCAGTTTACAGGACAACAAGAAAAGCCACCACAGCAGGTGGTTAAATTTCCAAGGAGCAGAACACAGGAGTAAACTTTTTCTCCCAGCTGGAAATTCAAGAAACACAAATCAGTGCAGGTTTTGGGCTTTGGTTTCCTCATTTGTGCCTTGGGTCTGACTGTACTTCTGAAAAAGCAAAAAAAAAAATAGAGTTTTTTGATGCAATTCCGTTGTGTGATACAGAATTACAGAATTTTTGAAAGCTGGACATGGACAAAAAATTGTTCTGGTATGAAATGACCTGTAAATTCCCTTTTTCCAGCCAACCAGTGGCATTAAAGAACTGTTCTGCATTTATTTCACCGAGTTATCTCCTGAAAATTTTCCTTTATGCCAACCACTTGTAATAAGGCCCCTCCAGATTTGTTTCCAATGAATCATTTGCCTCTTTTTCCTTTTATTTTCTTTTTTTTTTTGTTTCACTCAGCACTTTTAACCACAAAAATATAACTTGTGCCCCGTGAACAAGTTATAATTGGGACTCTCTTTGGAAGCCTTGCCTTAGGATGGAAGCTGTAGGAATAAAACTGGGTTTTCCACATTAAAAAAAAAAACAAAACAAAAAGAAAAACACCCCAGATGGTTTGACCAAAGCTTCTTGTGTTTCTGGAAATAGCAACTGTTCATTCTCCATCCCAGCTTTAGGACCTGCCTGAATTCTTGGAATAAGCATGGAATTCCTTCTTCCATTTCCCATCCTTCCCTTGGAAAAAAAAAAAAAATCATTTATTTAAAGTCTTATTGAGCTTTTCAATCTTACCAGTGAGCTGACAATATTTAAATGAGAAATGATAGCAGGTTTTCTTCGTTTTAAAAGGAAAAATGTCCAAATGTGGGGCACTTTTATTGTATTTCAATGGCATTGAATGCAAAGATCTTCCTCTAAATGTTGATGGTGATGAAAGCAGAGGTGTTAAATCAAGAAATGCAAATTTATTTTGCATCTGATCAGCTGAAAAACCATCTTGAGAGAAGTAAAGTGAGGAATGATGAGCGTAATTTAACTAAGTGATGAGTAAATGAGAATTGGACTTGGGTTGCAAGGAATCCAAATAGGCAGATTTATTGAAAAATACCTTAAAAAATACCTAAAAAATTAAAAATTACAGGTAAAATGCAGCGTGGGAGAGGCAGGGGTGGGGCCATCACGTTGTGTAGATGCAGCCAAACGAGGCTGAGCACTGAAAATTGCATTTTTCACGCTCAGGTCGACGTTTTAGGTGTGGCTGTGTCAGCTCCTGGTGGCACCGTGGGCTCTGCTCAGTGGGAATTTTACCACTTATACATCCAGCTAAAATTTTTCTCCTCACAAAAAAAAAAACAAAACACGTAACCAAACACCAAATAATATGTTTTCCTACACCAAAAAATAAAATAAAAAAGAGCCAACAGCAAGCAGATTTTAGAAGTGGCTCCGATGCAAACATTTGCATGCAGCTGTTCCCATCGGCCTCCTCAGCAACTGCTAAAATTAAACAGGAGCAGATCGTGGTTGAGCTTGAAATCGCTATGGTTTCAACAAAACAGCTGAAGATTTTGGGCAAAAAAAAAAAAAGCCCAAACTTTTTGCATCTTTTTGGTGGTAAATGACTGGAATGTGATGCTGGCCTGGTTTGGCTGCTCTGTATTTAAATGTGCTTTGGGGAGCCCTGACAGGCTTAGGATGTGAATGTTGTAAATGGGGGATATTTCCTCGGTGTCCTCTATCCCTTCCTGGGAAAAACTCTCTGTGTGATTTAGAAACACTTTCTGTCACTTTTTGATTTGCTCACAAAACCTCCCACGTGTCCAAATCACTGGTGGGACCCCTCACCCCCAGCAGGCACCGCCACAACAATAAAACTGCAGTGGGGGTTGCACAAGAGTAACCAACTCCTGGTTTTGCCAGCTATTTACCACTCTTAAAAATGGCTGGATTGCTGTGCTCCCAAACCACTAACTAACTTTGGGGGTTTTTTTTTTGGTGTTTGTTTCTGGGGGGGTTTTTTCTTTGCCTCCAGTGGGTGTTTCCAGCCCTCCCTGAGCTGTGGGTACAGGGGCTGTGCAGCCCACGTGGGTTTTGCTGCCTGGTGGGAGGAGGAGGAGGAGGAGGAAGAAACTGAGGAAATAAAGGAGGAAGTGACAGCAGAAGAAATGAAGGAAATAAATGAAAGTGAGGAAACCAGTGGGGATTTTCCCCTTTAATCCAGAACCCCTGCCCTGAGACAGCTCGGTGCCCTCCACCCGCTGCATTTAACAACTCAAATTCATTGTAGGTTGTTTTTTTTTTTTTCACATAATTTCTTCGGGCTGGTTGGCAAATCCCTATTAATTTCTTTTCCATTTTCCTTTCTTTTTTTTTTTGTAGTTTGGAAATGAGGAGCAGCAGCTGGCCTGGGCAAAGAGGGAGAGCGAGAAAGCAGAGCAAGAAAGACTCGCCCGGTTACGAAGACAAGAACAAGAAGACCTCGAGCTGGCCATTGCTCTCAGTAAGGCTGACATGCCAAACTCCTAAACTCAGCCTCCACCCCTGGCCTGAGCCAAACCTTGGGAAAATGTGGCTTTTTTTTGGGGGGTTGAAAAATACTAAACCCTTTGGTTTCTGTTGTGCAAAGAGTTTTAGCCACCTTGGGATTTAACCAAGCCCTGGCTGGGGGGGGATCTGCCCTGGGGGCTTCCCCTCGAGTGCATCATCAGCAGGAAACACTGTATAAGCTGTATTATATGTCCTAGATATAAAATTTATTGCTTGGAAGAAGTTTTAACGTGTAATCCCTGAGATGCTGAAGGTTTTCTTTCCCTGCGAGGCAAATGTTGCATGTGGGGGGAAAAAGCTGCAACAGGTGAGCCTGGTTTTTTGTAACCTGAATTCCAGGGGAGGGGCTTGGAGGCTGCAGGATGGACTTTGAAGGAAATGGCAGGAAAAAGAGAATATTTATAGCATTGGCTTTCAGTTGTTATGTTTATTTAAGAATTCACGAGAGCCTAATCAGTTTGTCACCTGCACCATCTGTGTCAAGGCATAAATTCATTATTGGATGGTCCCTTTTAATCCAAGAAGAAGTGGCTTTTACAAAAGAATCCAGCAGTTTATGTGTGATGGATCCAAACAGTGAGCTGTGTAAAAGAGTAGAGGCTTGAAGGCTCTGTGAATGAGTAGTTCTAATTCAAACATTTGCTTGCATTGGGTTTTGATAATTGCAGGTGATGTGGGTAAAAGAGGGAGTGGTAAATTGGATGGATCGTGCATGCCATGCGAGAAATGAGGCTGTGAATTATTGACTTCCTACAAAAAAAATGCCTTTTTCTGATGACAAGAATTCTCAAACTACAGTTGTCTTTGCCTTGGACTTTTCTGTCTCGTAGAGTAGGCGCCTCCCACAGCATTTTCACGTGTCCTCAGTCACGTGGGAATACAAAGCTTAACATTCTGGGGTTTTTAGTGATGCAGCCCTTACCTTACAACATTTTTCTGAGTTTTTTAGCTTCCTTTTTTTTTTTTATTTTAATGTGCTATTCCTTCGTCACCTTTAATGCACTTCTGGTTTTTACCTCCTTGCCTCGGTTATTTTTATTTTTATTTTCATACCACAAAGACAGTGCCTGGTGGGTGGGTGCAGAACAACCCTCTCCCCGTTGTGCTGGGATTGCCTTGCTCTGGATGCTTTTCCTGCCACGGGGAGGAGGATCAGGTTGGATCATTTGAAGCATCTTGGGGGAGTTCTCAGCTCTGAAATGCAGCCCAAGGTGTGGCATTTGTGCTCTCAGGCTCTTGTTTTTAGGATTTCCAGCTCCCTGTTGCTCTGTGTGTACTGCAGATAATGGGAACCTTTAGCCCCCCTCAGGAGGGGAGAAGATGCATTTCTAATACCAAATCCAACCATCTAATCATCTTTAATGACCCCCTGGGGATGCATTTCTGATTGCACGGAGTCTGATTTGAAATCCCTTCCCACTGTGGTAATTTCCCCTCTAAAATATATAGGATTAAATGATCAAACACACCAAAATGTTGACAATTTCTCTTTTCTGCTGGTGTAGAGGACTTGAAGTCTCTGTGAGCAAACTTGGGGCTGCTTGCAGCTGACATGAGATAAAAAGAGCCATCTCCCAAAGCAAGTGGCTGCAGGATTCCCAGGGAAGTTAAACAAATTATCCATGTGTAAAATTCTCCTCCTCACTTGGGCCTGAGTCCTTGTGGGGTCTCTTGTGCTGCAGTAAAACCCCCCTGACAGGTGTGGGGCTGTTTGAGAAAGGAAACCCTTCCTGGAGCTCTGCTGTCACTCCAGTGGGACGGGGTGGATGACTTAATAGCTTGATTAATTTTCACTCCTGCACCATAACAAGGCTTTCTGCTGCTTTGTCGGGGCTCTAAAAACGCTGTCATTTGTAATTCTTCGAAGGCAACCAGTTGGTGTTTCCAAGCTGTTCAGCAGGAGGGCAGAAATGTGAATTTCTGATTTAGGAACCTTCAGTTTACTGAAACACTCTCTGATTCAAAATGTTGGCACTGCAGTAGAAGAAAACTTAGCTGTGATTCCCCCCACCCCCCCTTTTGTATTTAATACAATTTTCCACCTCAAAAAGGAAGATTCCCCACGGCCTTTGCTGTAACTCTGTACCAATACCTGCACTTGTCCTTGGAGGCAAAACTTCAGTGCAAGCCCTTGGTCTTCTTCCTCCAGAACAGTGAAATTTAAAGCACAAACAAACAAACAGGCCTCGTTGCTTTTTGGGCAGAGAGAAAAATAAATAAATAAATAAATGTACAGTGCAAGAGCTGAAAAATGAGAATATCCCCAGTGCATATACAGTGTACAGCGAGATCCACATTATCTGTGTCTATGTGTACATATAAATATATATATAGTGTATTGTACAATGTAATAATAGTGTGTGTATATACCCCCCATGGCCACTTGCTCTGTCCAGTAAATAGTTCTTTGTGCTGTACAGAAAAGGTGTACATACAGTGAATATGTAGAATATGCAGATATATTCTATATATTGGAGTTGTGTGTGTGTGTGTGTGTGTGTGATTCTGAAACCAGAGATGGGGACGGAATTTGGGCAGGTTGGCTCGTGGCTCTGAGAATTTCAAAGTTCTGGTGAAAGAAAGAAAGAAAAAACGAACAAACAAAAACCAGGAGAAACGATTTCTAATCAATTTGGTTCAAGATTTCTTCTGTCTGGCAGTAAAACCCTGTGTTGATCAGCTGTGCCAGGTGTGGGAGAAACCTGGCAGAGAGTCGGATTCATCTGCACTGGATGTGATTTCACATTCTTTGGAGTTTTTGGAGTGTCTTTTGGAGTCCGGGCTCAGCTGCTGATCTCACATGTGATGCTTGTAGTTTCACTTCCTTATTTCCCTTTTTTTTTTACTTTATAAAAAAGCCCTATTTTTAAGGAGCTGTTCCCATACACACACACACACACCAGACAATCCCAGGCAGAGGTGAAACCCACGTTTTTCTTGCTTCATTCCAGTTCAGTTGGGTTGTCTGGTGGTGGAACCTCCCAGCAATCCTGCAGTGAAAGCAGGTGCTCAGAAAACACACTAAGTGCTGTTATGAGGCATTTTTATACAGGCAACTTTTCCCTCCTGGAACCTCTGCCCTGTGAGGGCCATCAGTCCTTCCTGGATTTCCTTCCAAAGTGCAGGAAACTCCAAGCTGTGTAACCCTTTTTTTTTTTAATTATTATTATTATTATGATTTGATTTGATTTGTGATTCCTGTCTGTGAAATCTGGTGGCAGAAATTTTGTAGGAATTATTTTGTCATCTTCTGCACTTTTCTTGGATTCTTCTTACCAATCCTTTTGGGGTTACTCTTTCTTCTTTAGTGTTTCTCCATTGAGAAGAATATTTATTCTGTAGAACCGTGGCCCAAGGAGTTTTGGTCCAAGTTAGAGTTGTTGCTTCCCCTGCTCTAAGAGTTTGATTTCTCCTCTCTTCTGCATTTTTTTTTCCCCTCCCTCTCAGGAGTTTCATTTCTGTTTAATCCTCGTTTGGAGCTGGAGCTCTGTTGAAGTGAATTGATCTGTGCTGTCAATGATCTGATTCAATCACGTTCCTACCCAGCCAATTTTGGGGGTGTGTCAATCATTGCATCTCTTAAGACTTCACAACACCAACCTTAGGAAGGAATTTTGCTTGGTGGAATCACAGATTTATTTTTAGGGTAAAATGTGCTAACTGTTATTCATTGACACACCTGTTTGATCAGTTGATTCGCTGCTCTTTTTACTTGAAAGTTTTATAAATAAAGGCTAATTTGTTATAAAATGGAATTTTCATTGCTCCAACTTCTGCCTTCCCCTGCAAGTTGAACTTCCAAAGGAAAACTCACAGTGGCTGTGGTTCCTCCTGCTGTTACAATTACAGAGTCCTCTGCTGGTGTCCCTTTTAATCTGACTTAAAAACAGGTGGAAACAAAGTGAGAGCTGCAATGTTGGCCTGAATTTGACTAATATCTCCAAATATGTACATTGTTGTAGCTATATTTATCTTTCAAACATCATAACAAATTGAAAGGTATTTTAATTTTAACCCATCTCATGTGTTTATTGTTTAATATAATAAGAGAATTGTTATTGTTTAATATAATAAATGAAAAGTTACTTTTTGGAGCTCTGAGACTTCGGTGATTGTTCTTTACTTCCTTTTTTTCTTTTTTTAATCCATAATTTCACAAGTTTTTGTGTCAGAAGGTGAGCAAGGTGAGCACCAGCTCGGTGGTTTCCTGCCCAGGCAGGTTGGTGTCCAGCAATTTTTGGGAGTGTTGACAATCTGGAGCCAGGATTTGGCACAACTCCCAACCCAGTTCCTCCCCTCCTGATAAAACAGAGGGATTCACTTTCCCAAAACCTCCTTTCCAACCTTTACTTGGGAACAAATGACATTTTCATTGGCTCTGTCTCCACCCTTTTAGAATTAGTTACCTGCTCATTTACCTGCTCCCATTAAAACTCCTTTCAGCCAATCACAACTTTCCTGCCCCTCTTTGGTGAGCGTAAATTCCTGAGCACAGGAACTGCAGGTGGATTCACCTGCTGCAGGTTTACAGTTGAGATCATCTCTTATCAAATCACAGCCCACCTTTTTGCTCCCACTCGGATTTCTGGGCTCTGACTTTGCACGGTGGGCTTTCCCAAATCCTTCTCTAATTCTCCTTGTCCATGCTTAATCCAAAAGGATTCCCTGGGAAGGGAAGAAAATTATCTCCATCCTGCTCAGGAAAAGCATTTACAAGTGGAAATTGAACCTCCAGGCTCCAAACCCAGCTGTCAAACAGATTGTTTGACAACAACCACTTGCTGATTGTTCCTGAACAATCTGCCCCGTGGGACTCTGAGCACAATTCCTGGTTTATCTTGGGAATTGCTGAATCCCTGTCTGCTGTGGGTGACTATCAGTGCAGTCACTCCAAGTACCTTTTCCCTCCTGTCTGATTGAGGGTTTTATTAATGTACTGACAGCAATTAAAGCTTTTATTGGTGCTGATGCAGCGTCTCTTGCTGGAGCCTTCCTTATTGACAAGACCTCGTCACACTCTGCAAACAGGAGATATTCCTGCTCTTGAACTTCCCATAAATTGTCCTTGATCCCAATTTTCAGAATGACAAAGCCCTGTGCTCTCTGCCCAACCCCCAGGAAGGACACCCAGGCTTCCTAACATCCCTGATTTTGCAATATGGTATCAAATCATTAAGATATTGAACCTGTCATTGTGCACAGGCTGTAATAAAAAAAAAAAAAAAGGGCTTGTTGGGATTTGAGGATATTTCTCTGGGTGTTTTGGTTTGTGTTTAAGCCTCAGGCTCAGTAGCTTCTCATCTAATATATTAAAATATATTAAATTTCACAGGGCATCACGTCCAGTGTGATATTCCAAATATTTCCCCATGACACAATGGTAAGTCAGAATTCCAGGAATGCTCTGAGCTCTGTGAGAAGTGCAACAAACCACAGCAAAAGTGATTTAAAGGAACACCCCATCTAATTGTAAACCTGCACCAGGTGAATCCACCTGCAGTTCGTGTGGTCAGGAATTTACACTCACCAAAATGGGGCAGAAAAGTTGTGATTGGCTAGAAGGAATTTTAATGGGAGCAGGTAAATGAGCAGGTAACTAATTCTAAAAGGGTGGGGACAGAGCCAATGAAAATTTCATTTGTTTCCAGGCAACTTGTGCTCAGAAAGGAGGTTTTGGGAAAGTGAATCCCTCCATTCACTCCATAAAGCAGGTGCTTGTGGCTCCCTTTTTTGTGTCTGCACTAAATATTGTAAGATCAAACAATTGTGGCTGAAATGTCAGCCCTCAAAAGAATAAATCAAACAGATTTTTCTGCCTAAGAAGTTTAGGATGAATCCCCAGGTGGTGCAAGTGGAGGGTGCTGCTTTAGCAACGGGCTCAGCTTTTGCCCTGTTAAATTAGGGGGGGGTTGAGTTGAATTTTCCTCTCTCTGTTTCCCCCCCCAACACTGCTCGTTGCCATGGCAATGGCTGCATGACTTTGTTGTAGTTGTTTTATTTAAATATAGCAAAAGAAATTGCTAGAGCTTGGGATTCTGGCTTTGAAAATTCAATTTAAGCAAAGCCTAACAGCTACTCTGTGTTAGAGGTGCACAAAATAGCTTTAGAAACCACAGAGCCTCTACCACAGAAAACCACAGAACCACACAATCCTATAATTTGAAGAGTGGACAAACTTTTTTTGGCACTTCTTGTGGATGGAGGACTGAAGTTTAGAGCCAGTCGATGTTTTTCAGGCAGTTTGTAAATGGCTGTGAGTGACCAAGGGCTCCCAGGGGCTGAAATGCCCCGTCCCTGCATGGGGGGAGCACTGAAGCTCCACTCCCCCAGCCATGAACACCTGCAAAACTGAGTCTAAAGTGAACTTCCAGAAAAGCCAGAGGGTTTCTAATCCAACCTTCCACTTTAGGGCTGAAAAAAAGAAAAAAAAAAGGGATTTGAAAGCGCCCTGCTCGCTGGCTCACGGGGTGCTGGGCTGACCACCATGGTGCTGGGCTGTCCACCAGGGTGCTGGGCTGTCCACCAGGGTGCTGGGGTGCTGTGGGGCTGTTTCAGGGTGCTGGGCTGTCCACCAGGGTGCTGGGGGGCTGTTTCAGGGTGCTGGGGTGCTGCTGTTGTGGTACTGATGTGGTTGGTGCTGGGGTGGTGCTGGGCTGTTTCCCAGGGCACTGGTGCAGTGCTGGTGAGAGCTGCTGTGCTGCTGGGCTGTTCCAGGGTGCTGGGGTGATGCTGGGGTGGTGCTGGGCTGTTCCAGGGTGCTGGGGTGATGCTGGGGTGGTGCTGGGCTGTTCCAGGGTGCTGGGGTGATGCTGGGGTGGTGCTGGGCTGTACTGGTTGTGCTCAGGGCTCTGTGTCGCCCTCGAGAGCTGAACAAGGGACCGAGCGACCTTAAAGTCCCCACAGTGGCAGGACCCGGGGCTGTTTGGGGGTCACAGGACTCGGGTTGTTTGGGGGTCACAGGACCCAGAGTTATTTGGGGGTCACAGGACTCGGGGCTATTTGGGGGTCACAGAACCCGGGGCTATTTGGGGGTCACAGAGCCCGGGGCTATTTGGGGGTCACAGAACCCGGGGCTATTCGGGCTGTTCGGGCTGTTTGAGGGTCACAGAACCCGGGGCTGTTTGGGGGTCACAGGACCCGGGACTGTTTGGGGGTCACAGAACCCGGAGCTATTTGGGGGTCACAGAAGCCGGGGCTATTTGGGGGTCACAGGACCTGGGACTGTTTGGGGTCACAGAACCCGGGCTGTTTGAGGGTCACAGAACCCGGAGCTATTCGGGGGTGACAGGACCTGGGGCTGTTTGAGGGTCACAGGACCCGGAGCTGTTTGGGGGTCACAGAACCCGGGGCTGTTTGAGGGTCACAGAACCCGGGGCTGTTTGGGGGTCACAGAACCCGGGGCTGTTTGGGGGTCCCAGGACCCGGGGCTGTTGAGGTGTTTGGGGGTTACGCGTGTCCCTGCAGATGAGCTCCCGTGCCGGGCAGGTTGGAAGGTTTCACTGACTCTCCCAGCAGGTGAGAGACAAAACCGCTCTGGGCAGAACGAAACGCAGCGCTCTGAACACCCGCGTGGATGAACCGACCGGGCAGGGACTCCTCGGGATGCTGCCCCAGCTCACAAATATTTGCTAAAACTTTCACCGGGACCTTTGTGCAGGATTTGCTCGTTTCTGCACTTGACGAGCTCTATCTAATCTCGCAATCTATCTTGCAACAATAGCGAGCCCATCGCTGCGGTATCTTAGAAGAATATGTGTGAAAATCTTGTTTACAACGGACTCTACATTTCCTCCCCGTCAGGTTTTAACTACAACCTCTTGTTTTTTCCCTTTCCCTTCTATGGCAAAATCAAATCCAGGATCGCTGCGGATGGCGGTGGCTGGATGCTCCCTGGGAGGCAGCTGGTTAATTAGGACAAAATTACTTGAGAGATGACAACCCGATGGTCTGTTGTTAGAAGATGCGGAGCGTTAGTGATTTCCTGCTGACCAGGGGAGGCTTGGGAGATTACTGGAATTACATCTTTGGATGTACTCATTTAAGACAATTAAAGAAAGAAAAAAAAAAGAAAGAAAATAAAGAAAAAGAGAGTTACAATTACTCATAATGGAATGTGAGAAGAATGAGATCAGCATCTCTTTTTTTTTTTTTTCTGCTACAAGATGATCTCAAGATTCAAGAACCTGCAGTTTCCTGTAAAGACCACACAGCACTTATCACATCTGCCCTCCCTTTAAAAATGACAGTTTCTCGTGAACTTTTATTAGTGTTTTGTGCCCCATCCCTCCCCACTTTCAGAGGCCTGTGTGTTTATGTATTTTTCTATGAGGTCTTTGATATTTATACCTTTGCCCTATTTTCGGTTGAGTCACAGATCTCAGAGGGCACAACCTGCTCCTCCTCGGGGTTTGGTCGTTATTTGGTGGCAGCATCAGGCACATCGGGGGTTTTAGCTGAAGACTCTCTAGTGAGCAGGAGCAGAGGGGATGACCCTCCCAGCCAGCCCCTCCACTGAAGGCAGGTTGGGATGCTCCCATGTTGAGGTGCTGGAGGGGCTCCCACTGTGCTGGGTGACGCAGAGGAGCCACACGAGGGGTTTTGGAGGGTTGGTGGCTGTGGTGACATTTTTATCTGCACAGGCACTGCAGAACCATCTGCTTCGTGCTGGGTCACTGCCTGCAGCTGCCTCCCACCCCTGGGATCCCAGAATCCCAGAATAATTTGGGTTGGAAGGCTCCTCCAAGCCCTTCCAGTGCCACCCCCTGCCATGGGCAGGGACACCTTCCACCAGCCCAGGTGGCTCCAAGCCCCATCCAACCTGGCCTTGGACACTTCCAGGGATGGAGCAGCCACAGCTGCTCTGGGAATTCCATCCCAGCACCTTCCCACCCTCAAAGGGAGGAATTCCTTCCCAATATCCCACTGAAATTTCCCCTCTTTCACTTGGAAGCCATTCCCTGTGTCCTGTCCCTCCATCCCCAGTCCCTCTCCAGCTCTCCTGGTGTCCCTTTAGGCCCTGGAAGGGGCTCTGAGGTCTCCTTGGAACCTTCTCTTCTCAGGGACAGGGCTGCCACACCTCTGTGTCTCTGTTAAG